CCTGGGGGTGCCCCCGTTTTCCCTGCTCCCACTTTTTTGGTGTTTTGTCTCCCCAGATATCGATGAGTGCATCATGAACGGGGTGATGTGCAGGAACGGGCGCTGCGTCAACACCGACGGCAGCTTCCAGTGCATCTGCAACGCCGGCTTCGAGATCACCCCCGACGGCAAGAACTGCGTGGGTGAGGGTCTCCCGAGGGTCCCGGGGGTCCTGGGGGTCCTTATCAATCAGGCTGATCTGAAACAGAGCCCAGATAAACCTCAGAGAATCAGAATGGATAACTTTAAGCCAGGCTTAACAGTCCTGCTGGCACATTAGGGTAGAAAAAACCCAAAATAGACCCYGAGATCTTCACCTTTTTTAAGTTCTGCCTTATTAACATATTGGGGCTTAATTCTCTAATGATCAGGTGATGATGTCACCCACCCCAAACTCGCTGCTGTTTCCATATTTTGGGGCACTGAGGTGTCCTCGGATTCAGCTCAGAGAGTTTTGTTTTGTCTAAAGATGGGAGAACGGGAATTTTAGTGTTTTATTAGAGAAATACAAGAAATACAAGATGCATGAAAATAGAGAAACTAAAAATCCTAAGGCATCAGAGGAGCTCAGGGCTGAGCTGGGATCGAGTTCTCCCTGGGCACGGATGGGTTTGCTTTGATTTGGGGTTTGCTCCAAGGMCAGGAGGAATGGGGAGGCGTTTCCATGGGGCTCTTGTGGGGTTTTGGGGTCTGGGGGGTGCTCCAGGAGCGCTGGGGACAGCTCTGAGCAGGAGAGGTGACCTCAGCCTTGGAGCTGATGCTCTTGGGGCTCCCTGTCCCTYTGTGTCCCCTCTGAGAGCCACCATCCCAAACTGGGTGTGAGATGGAGCACAGGGGGGTTTGGGGACAGAAGAATTTGGGGACAGGAGGGGTTTGGGGACAATGAAGGTTTGGGGAACAGGAAGGTTTGGGGTACAGGAGGGTTTGGGGCACAAGGATTTGAGGCACAGGAGGGTTCGGGGACAGGGAGGGTTTGGGGCACAGGAGAATTTGGGGACAGGAGAGTTTGGGGACTGGGAGGGGTTTGGGGACAAATGAAGGTTTGGCACGCAAGGATTTGGGCACAGTGAGGTTTGGGGCACAGTGGGATTTGGGGCACAGTGGGGTTTGGGGCACAGTGGGGTTGGGGCACAGAGCTATTTGGGGCACAGGGCGGTCTCCCTGCAGCTCTGGGGTCCCGTCTGTCCCCCAGACCACGACGAGTGTGCCACCACCAACATGTGCCTGAACGGGATGTGCATCAACGAGGACGGCAGCTTCAAGTGCATCTGCAAACCCGGCTTTGTGCTGGCTCCAAACGGGCGCTACTGCGTGGGTGAGCAAACCCCAAATCCTTCCTGCCCCATCCCTGCCTCATTCCAACCCCATCTCTGCCCCGTCCCTGCTCACCTGGGAGCGCCTCGGGGCAAGGGGGGCCAAGAAATCCAAGGGTGTGGCCGGGCAGCTCCTGCTGGGCCACCAGGAATTGTCCCTGATGGGAAGTGTCCCTGATGGGAATTGTCCCTTCACAGCAGAATGGGAAAAGGGACCATGTTCTTGTGTTCCGATCCTGTCTGTGTGTCCTGAGCCCCTGTTCATGTGTCCCAGTCCCCCTTCCACGTGTCCCCATCCCCTCCTCACATGTCCCATCCCTTCTCCACATGCCCCAGTCCACTCCGCACATCCCAATCCCCCATCCACATGTCCCAATCTCCCCTCCCCACATCCCAATCCCCTCCCCACATGTCCTCACCCTCTCTCCATGTGTCCCAATCGCCTCCCCACATGTCCCCATCCCCTCTCAGTGTGTCCCTCACCCCCTCCCCACATGTCCCTCACCCCCTCCCCACATGTCCCTACCCTTCCCTGTGTGTCCCAATCCCCTCCATGTGTCCCATCCCCTCTCCACTTTTCCAAATCCCCTCCCCACATGTCCCAATCCCCCC